TACATGCTTTCGAACTGCTAGGTTGGCAGAAGTTGGGACAAGTAACGCGAGCTCACTCCATTACGCAGCACTAGGGATTCAAACGGCTGAACTGCCGACCTTCTGATCGATAACCTCAGCATCTTAGTCACTGAGCCACCGTGTCACTAAAGTTATACTAACCCAAGTTATATTTTAGTTACATCCCAAAGCCACATCAACATTCAGCATTATTTTTGTAAAAAAAAAAATGTCATCACATCAGGTGTTTCATCCAAAGCAAACTTTTATTCACTTAAAGAAACTCTAAAATATTCAGAATTTCATTAGCATAGAATGTTCTTTTTCAGACTTTCCCCCCCCCTCTCAACAGCTGAAAAACACAATACAGAACTCTTTGTTAATACTAACCATTTTTAAATTAAATTAATAGCCATTTCAGAAGACAAACTTAGTTGATAGAAAATATTTATATATTTATATATATTTATATATAGGCGTGTGTATTTACTGTACAAAGTTTACATTTAGAAAAAAAAAGTAAATTTTCTCCAATATTACAGACTTATTACGTACAGGGTTTAAATTGTAACTAGGGAGACTCTTGATGTACAAATGTGCTTCCCTTTAAAAAGAACCAGAAAGACATAACCTCACAATCTCACAGTGCTAATTCATTTTCTTACAATCAGCATAAAAAGAGTAATTAACAAATGATAGCGGGTGTTTTTTTCTTGATTTGTTTTTTGTGTTTATGTGTGTTCCTGTGAAATATTCCTTTTACCTTAGATGAGGGGGAAACATGAGTCATTCTTTTACTTGCTGGGAGATGCATCTGAATATATAACAGTGTAAACATAAAGGGTTTATAAGAGTAGAATCTGTATTGAAAGTAGAGATTTTAGGTGGGTGGGGGATCACACTTAATTTCAGCTGTCAATTGAACCAGGACACAGGAATTCAGTGGAGCAAGGATATAACCTTAAATTTACTATAATAATTACAACTAGTATGAATTCTCTTCTGTATTTTGTAATTTTCCTTCCTGGCATATTAAAAATAATAATTGTAATTTGCAGGCAACTTTTTAAGGAATTGGCAGGCAGAGACAGTCAGACAGAAATGGCTTGTAACCTCAGGTCAGTATTTTTTTTTAACCTTAGCAGCTTTAAGATTTGTGGACTTCAATCCCCAGAATTCCCTTGGTTGGCTTGGGATTTCTGGGAGCTGAAGTCCACACATCTTAAAGTTGCCAAGGTGTGGTGTTTAATGTCAAAAGCGGACCAAGCCATAATGTCACCAGTGAACCAACCATTTCCCAGTATCCTGACCACCACTCCAATTTTTATTCTCCATGTTTCATTGATCAAAGAGATGGAAAAAGAATGTTTATACCACTTCCATTACTTCCATTCTGTGTTTCTGGATGTTAAATCCAAAGAATATTTCAGAAACAAGGAGAAAGAAAATAAAATATTGCACCAACTACCTAAGAGTTGGGTCCAGATTAAGCTAAAGGCAATATACTTAGTTTAATATTTCTTGTGATCATAAAAAGGGCAGTTCGGAATAAATTCCTTCCACATTCCTTCACAAGGGGACAGGGGAAACATGGGTTTAGATCATGGTTAAGAATAGGATCAAAGCACATCAAAGCAAGCCTGGATGAACAGACTGTTACCCCTCGTGTCAAGAGGCCAGGATGATGGGATCTAGATTCTAACAATACAGAATCTAGATTCCAGAGCAGGGGTCTCCAACCTTAGCAACTTTAAGACTTGTGGACTTCAACTTCCAGAGTTTCTCAGCCAGCTTTGCTTCAACTCTAAGAGTTGAAGTCCACAAGTCTTAAAGTTGCTAAGGTTGGAGACCCCTCTTCAAGGGGGTACAGGTTTCTCTACTCATGCCTTAAGATTAAGTAGTTGTTACTTAGGAAAGGGGGGTAGGTGTGTAGAAGTGTGCAAGAACTACACACATGCACACACAATTACCTTAATCCCCGCCCCATCCCTCCCCTCTCA